AATAAAAGGAAAAGAAACAAAGGTGAAATAGATAAGTAGATGAAATAATATACTCCTCTGTTGTTTCAATATTGCATCACTTGCCTTTAAAAGAAGTTTCACAAATATTGCACCATATCCATTTTAGGAAAATATATATCTTTGTTCACACTGCAAATACCCAATATACCCTTACTTTTTAATACTTGTTTCTTTAGTTATGCTTACTATCACATAGGCACTTTTGTATTTTTACCTTTCTCTCTTCCTTTTTCACACTACCAAAAAAATTGTGCGAAGCCCCTATGGTGCAATATTAAAAGATTTGAGGAAGTACTAGTATTTATAAGAAGGAAGCTAAAGCTCCCATAACTCTCTAATTATTGTTGATTTAGTTGAAAATAGTTAAATTACGGAGAAAAACTACAAAAGTGAACTAAAACACTACATAGAGAGTAGATTATAAGTCCATTTATCAAACTCCCTTAAGCTAGCTAATTACTTGTCCCCTAGCAATTGTATTATAAGGAACAGGGGGAAGCTTATAAGATCATGCTTGCAAATATTCAAACATTTTCCCACAACAAGAAAGTAGAGCGTAAACCGGATGTCAAAGAAGGAACATAGAACAGATTACCCTCAAAAACCCATTAGAGTAATGCTAAATCCGGTTGGCGCAAACATTAATACCACGTCCTTCCCCAAATTCAAATTGGCCCTATTATGTGGCATCTCAAGCATCCAAATAGGAGCTAGAAAAGTTAAAGAGACGAAATTAAGGGAAGAAGAGCACAATCGCATCATCGTAAACCATCCCTTCCATATATGCTTGAAAAGTGACTCTCTCCACCAACAAAGACTCGATTACCATTTTCAAATCTTGAGGGCAGCTTTTAGGGCTGTGATGAGGTTTAAGGTAAAGTAAGATTAAATTTGGGAAATGGTGGTCAAAACCTACTCTAGTGGAGTGAATAATATAATGTTTCATTCTTCATTTCTTCATTCCATTCTTCAACACGCATTCCTCTTTTCTTTTCTTTCATTTTTTTTCTTTTATCTTTTTACTTTTCTTCATTTTTTTTTTTTTTTTTTTTGTGAGATATTTGCAAATACTACTTCCATTTAGTGGGAAACATGTTCCACTAGCCAATAATGGTCAAAATAGATACATATAAAGGCTTTGGTTTGTAATGTGGCTATAAAGGCAGGAATAGGTTGCATATGGGGGTAGCAAAGAGGGCATATGTCTAACAAAACAACGAAATAAAACTAACAATTATACACATTAAAGAAAGCTAAATCCTATGAAGATAAAATGATAATTTACCTCAATTATCTTTTAAAAACATTTTGAGTCACGATTACAAGAGTCACAATGCAAGTTCTTGATCTAAATGGCCTCGATGAGGAATAATAAACCACACATGAAAAGAACAAATGCCAAATGATGGAGGTCTTAACCGTTAAATGGCTCAAAATTTCTCACCAAGGTTCAATTTTCACTTATTCGGGTTTAAAATCACTTGGGAAAGCGATACCATCTTACTTCAATTCCCCTAAACCGATATTTTGCATTTTCTAAAAATATTTTCTTTACTAGCCGAAATTAGCCAGGTTCAAAGCTCAACCAAAGACATCCAATTTATGCTCAAACTCTCTCAAATTAAGGAATAAAATTGAATCTAACCATGCATTCACCAATTTCATCATAGGGAAACTACAAAAATAAGGAACAATATTTGCAAAAACTACACTAAAAGGGAGAAATCTTTTTTAGACTTGAGATTTTGTCATTTTTTTCTATTCTTTTCTCTTCTTTTTTTTTTTTTTTTTTTTTTTTTTTTTTTTTTTTTTTCCCCCTCAAAGAGAGGAGAAAAAAAAAATAAATTTAACACAAAAATTTGGATTTAAAGTAAGCATATTTGGAATTTTGGGTTTGGGATTTAAAGGGAGAAAAATTCATCCATACATCTCATCAACATCATCATAATTATCATCAAGTCAAACAATCAACCAAATCAAGCCTAATAAAATCAATTCAATCCATACCAAGGCAACTCAATCAACCACAGCACACTCAATTAATCTACCAAACTCCACTTAAAAAATTAAGCAGAAAAAGGTTACTCTAATGCACATGTATAAGCGAAGAAAGTGAGGCTATCCACATCATAATGCAATAATTCTAGCCTGAATGTACCATATAATCTTGAGAAAGATCAAACACCAACTTAAAGAAAGCACACTTTAGCTAGGACAATATATAAAACTAACCACAATAACCAAAAGCCTCATCAAAGCCTTCACATCCAACATTCCACATAAAACCTTAACAACTCATGAACAATTATGCAAAAAGAGGGTAACAATGAAGCACAAAAACCAACAACCGACCCTTGACAAGACTCACACCCACACATCCCCCTAAGCTAGCCACTTATTTACAAAGTTCGTGATGCACATTCTAGTGGTAAAATAATACTCCCACAGTTCCACAGCTCCTATATGAACGCATTACTCTGCCTTTTCCACTAATCATATACCAACTTTGACTTGTTTTTTTCTTTTTATTTTACTAATATGTACAAAACAAAATGAGGGCAAGTTGCTATTGATTTATCTTGAGCTGAATCATTGCCTTGGTGGTGTGACAGCTGCTTCTCTGACTTGTTTGAAAGATCCACCAAGAAAAGGAGAGAAGCTGACCTTGTCACCTAGTGGTACATTGGCTACTATCACAGACTCACTTGGTCGTATATTGCTCTTAGACACACAAGCTCTTGTCGTTGTCCGGTTGTGGAAGGTGAGTTCTGTGCTCCATGGCACACTTCAATTGAATTGGTCCTTTAATAGAACCAAATGTAAATTCATGTTATTTATCTTCAATACCAGGGATATCGTGATGCCAACTGTCTTTTCATGGAGATGCTGGTCAACAAAGATTCTGCATCAACTTCTTATCACGAGTACAAGAAGAGCGATTATTGCTTGTGTCTTGCTATTTATGCTCCGAAAAAAGGAATCATCGAGGTACTGGCAAAATCAGTAATTACGTTTGTTATCTTGTAGAGGAGACCATTTAATAAGTTAAAATTTCTCCTAGGAGCACCCCCACCTCTCGAAATTGGGCAGATTGTATCTGGTCCTTGATCATTTTGATCCATCAATACAAATTGTGTCCCTTTTTCCCTCATTTTATCTAATTCTGTTCTGTTTCACTTGTGTGTTTTGAGTTGGCAAAAATTTGGCTCAACTAATAATTTTAGGCCTTGTACCTGCCCTGTGGTCTGGTTCATACTTCATAGATAAGACAATTGGGCTTTTGTTTATTTTCTACACTTGGAAGCATACTTTTTGGAGTCTTGTTTGCTATTTTATCTGCAACACTAATGAGATCCCACTAGTCCGATACTTGACTTTGCTATGACATTTGTAGGAAGCCATTGTCGTGGTTCAAGGGAGGGAAGTTTTGGCAAGATGTGTTTTGGTGTGGGAGCTTGCTTTAGATCTGTTAATTGAATTCTATATTCAGAAATCAGAATAGGAAATGTTAGAACTCATAAACTAATGGATATCTGTGATATGTTCTCAATGACGTCTGAACATAACTTATTCACTGATACAGGTGTGGCAGATGAGAACAGGCCCACGCCTCCTAACAATTCAATGCGCCAAAGGAAGTAAGATTCTGCAGCCTACGTACAGATTCAGCTCGTCGATGACATCCTCTTCATCATACATGCCTTTAGAGGTCTTTTTGTTAAATGGAGACTCCGGTCAATTGTCGGTTTTAAACAGATCACTTCACTAATTTGATTTAATTTACATTCTTTTGTACGTAGTATTTTATAAGCTGTAAAAATTCACATGTATTTATAATAGTAACAAACTAACAATGTATACTTGTGCTTGACGCAAGTCAGATCCATCGAAGTATGTTGAGCACTTTCCTGGCATGAATTCTCCGGGGATGATGACAAAGTTGTAAATTATTCATTTTTTAGCAACTCAAATTAGACATAGTTGTTCTTTTGCTTAATTGTTGCACTTAAAAAGGATGAATAATTTGATTGTTCTGATAATATCCTGAATAAGAGAGACGGAGTTCATCAATACTGCATCACTGCAGGCATCAGTTTGGGCTATGTCCTGGATTACAGACATTAAGTGCATAGTAATAAAAATATACATTTTGATTAATTCAAAAACGTAAAAAACAAGTATATTTATCATTATATATTAAGTAATAAAACATTGTCAAATTTAGTATTTCCTCCATTTTATATTATGTAATCCTACTTAGATAATTATTGTGATACAAAATAGAAGATGATAGTATGATACATTGTATAAAAACGGAGCAAGCTTATAAATGAAAAAATATTTTACTTGTATTAATCCACAATTTTACTCTACCAGGCACTACATTTAAGCCTGCCATTTTTCTCTCTTATCAACTTGTTTCAACCAAAAATTCGAATTCAAAAATCTACCCATTAATGCAAATAGATGAGGACAGAGGGATTATAGTAATAACTACGGAGTAGTAATGATACATATATTGAGAAATAGAGTAAGATATCATAGTATCATACACCTTATTAGGTTACTATTGTGTTTGGAATCTTTATACCTACGTGGGATACCACAACAAATGCTCATTGATTTCAAACAAAGGCAAAAAGCAACACGGGTAAATTAGGTGTGATGTGAAAAACTAAGGCAAAATAGTTGGAATACAATATTAGGAAATGATGGAACAATAGCAGATTAGTAGTAAGAGTAAAGGAATTGTGAGAGGACCATAAAATGCTACTTGGAGATTTGGAGAATGATAAATTTACCAAACTATGCTTGTAAAGTGAGTACCTAAAACAAATCAATTTTTGCTAATTGGTGGTCATATACTTCATATAGAAAGAATTCAATTTCAAGTTTTCGATATCACTCCAAGACTTTTTAAGTCCATAGAATATGTGAACTATGAATCTATAATACTTCTAATTTTCTAAATTATCACACAATCATATCTCTTATAATAAGTATTTACAATATTTTTTTATGACCATACCTAAAATATTTTTCAATCTATCATACTCATTCATTTATGTTAACTTTTCAACCAATATTCAATTTCTATCAACATCATGATCTTTTTATATAAATTAATATGATTTGGATAAAATTCAATTTATTATCTTTTCTAATTATAAACTTCTATCATAATAAAAACAAACATTCAATATAATTCTCCAAGTTGACCTCAAACAAAAAAACATAAAAATAAAAAAATGCATCCAATCATTATTTTCTCTATCCTCACTTCACTCTCTCTCCTCCACTCCTCCTCGGCCATCCCACCCCACCGTCTTCCGCCCTTCGCCACCACCACCACCACCCTCTCCACCATCGCACCACTACTCCCTCACCCCACCATCTTCTTCGAAGTCACCAAACCCACACCACCACCACCACTCTCCCGCACGACCACCCCGTGTTCCCACCTCCTCCTCTCGCACGACTTCGCCAACACCTACTCTCGCCCCCCTATCACCGCACCCTACTCTCCCCCTTCTCACTGCCCTTTCACCCGCTTCTCCGCCGTCGTCCTCGAGTTCTCCGCCGCTTGCCGTGGCCGCCAATTTGACCGCATCTTTGGTGTTTGGCTTTCTGGGGTTGAGCTCCTTCGCAGCTGCACTGCCGAGCCTACGCGCGACGGTATTTTCTGGAAGGTTCGTAAGGATATTTCTAAGTATTCTTCTTTGCTTTCGCAATCTAATCAGACTCTTGCGGTTTATATTGGGAATCTGGTTGATCAAACTTATACTGGTGTTTATCATGTTAATGTCACTTTTCATTATTACCCTGTTGTGAATGATCATGGGAATTCGGGTGATTTGTATGGAAATTGGGCGGATTTGATAGTACCCATTTCGAGGAATTTGCCATTGAATGATGGGTTGTGGTTTGAAATTGAGAATTCCACTGATTTTGAGTCGAAAAAGGTGTCCATTCCGAGGAATGTTTATAGGGCTGTGTTAGAAGTTTATGTTTCGTTTCATGAGAATGATGAATTTTGGTATACAAATTTGCCGAATGATTATTTGTTGGCGAATAATTTGAGTAGTAATACGGCCGGAAATGGGGCTTTTAGGGAGGTTTTGGTGAGTTTGGATGGTGAATTGATTGGTGCTGTTTGGCCGTTTACTGTGATCTTCACTGGTGGAATTAATCCCCTCCTTTGGAGGCCGATTAGCGCGATTGGATCATTTGATCTTCCTACATATGACATTGAAATCACTCCGTTCTTGGGCAAGTTGTTGGATGGAAAACTGCATAATCTTGGGTTTAGTGTTACGAATGCGTTAAATGTGTGGTATGTTGATGCTAATTTGCATCTTTGGTTGGACAATAAAGTGAAGGTTGTGAAGGGGGAGTTATTGGAGAACAATGCTGAGCCTCTAACTTTGTCGACGAAATCACACTTCAAAGGTCTTAATGGCAAGTTTAAAGCTGGTGCAAGCAGAGCTATATTGTCGAAAGGTTGGGTAGAATCCTCTAAGGGGAATATCACAACTGTTTCGATTCAAAAATTCGATTTCCTAAACACTAATGTGCTTAAAAATGATGGAAGTTTTCAGACAGTGAATCAGACTATTGACTTTAACACCACTGTTTCTGCAAACATTGGGTCTGCCTCTCTGCTGTATAACATCGAATCACACAAGAAGTTTCCGTTGTTTGTGTATACCAACCAGATTGATCAAGGTGACAACACGTATAGTTTGCTGAGCAATGTGACCTTAGGATTTGACGAGGATAAGATATTGGCTGCTGAAGGTGTGCTTTCCTCGAGCACTCTGCGAAACTGGCAAAAGGGGGATGGAACTATGTTGGTGAAGAACAATTTGGTGTCCGGTGGATTGGGGCGTACACATCAGGTTTATAAATATACTGATAACACTGGTAAATTTTGTTACTTTAGGAATGTGAGCAGCTACAACTACACTATTGTCTTCGACGAAGTGAAAGATAAATGTAAGGTTGAAACCCGAGGTTATATTCCTCGTTTCTCTAATCATCGTATTACACTACTGTAAGAGTAGTTTCAACATTCGATTTATTTGTTTGTTTGTTCTTTGCTTGGTATCTATAAATAAGGATGCCAATGTTATAATAAATACAGCTTCCGAGGAAAGGAAGTGAAGATTGTAAGAGATAAATGTGTTTGTAAATTGGTTAATCTTTGTAAATTTTTAGGTTAACTTTCGATCCATTACAATTTCCTCTGACACAAGTTTAGTTGAACATTTGGCTGCACATTTGCACAATTGAATAAACGCACACCTTTAGACATGCAGTTTTAAGAAATGATTAGTGAAGGTAAATTAACACTACAATGCTGTGTTGCAAGCAAGTAAAAACGAAAGAAGGTACCTCACAATATCACATTATGAATTTTCACTTAATTATTTAAATACCTAGTTGAAATGGAGAGTATATGTTCAGTACAAACTATAATGCAGATAAACCAGCAGCAATAGGAATGTGCAAGCAGAGGAAAAGAATTAAGTGTTCAGTTTTTTGGTGTTGATTCAGGTTGTGATGAATCTCTTTGTACGGAATTAATTTTCACATTGTTGTAACATCTCATAATTAAGATTCGTCATACTTTAAAATTTAATTTTAACATTGTTGTAACATCTCATAATTAAGAGTCGTCGTATTTAAATGTTTAATGAGTAATTTTCTTTAAAACAAAAGATTTGCGGTGAGCGTAGATCGAACACGCGACCTTCAGATCTTCAGTCTGACGCTCTCCCAACTGAGCTATCCCCGCATATTTGACTTTTTACTGCCTTTTATTTATTTAATAATATTTCAAGGGAAAAATTTTTGTGACAGTGCAAAAATTTCCAAAAAGATAAATCTCGAGATTAGAATATTTAACCTAATATAATCCTACAAAGATTCGGTAATTTCCATAAATGTACTCCTACTTGGCAATGATCATGTGCTTAAGCTTTTGGAAATTGATCGTGTGCTTAATTGGACACATTTGATTAGAATCAATTTGATAAACTACCCCAACCTCGTTATGATTCAAAAATAATATCATTTTTTTTTTTTTTTTTTTTTTTTTTTAAATTTTGTTTTGTGAAGGAATGAGGGCAGGATAAATCTTACTACAAATCAAATTTTGCCAAAGTTGTGAAAATTGGAGGGTAGGAGATTAAAAACTACTGCACCGATCATTATGAATTAGCTAAGTTGCTTCTAGTCCAGCAACAATATGCTATAGTGTACCTAGGCCTGTACAAAAATATCTGAGAATCCGAAAATTCGATAATCCGATCCGTAACCGATTCGAATTTTTAGATACCCGATCCGAGTTTTCATTTCGGATCGGATATCCGATCCGAATCCGCATTTTGGATCGATCCGATCCGAAAAACCGAATATTAAATGCGGATTTGGATATTGATTTTCAAAATTTCGGATATCCGATATCCGAAAACTGTTGGATATCCGAACCGATATCCGAAATATAAAGGAGTATATGAAGTATAATAGAAGTATATTTTCTTTAACAAAAGTTCTTAATGTTCCTAAAAAAACATTTCAATCCTTCAGCTCACTCAAAACTCTCCCTAAAAACCCTGAAGTGAGTAAAGTCCTTTTTCTCTCTTTAAGGTGGCCACCACCCCTCATAGTCTCACACCTTACACCTACCCTCACAGCCCCCGCTCCGGCACTCACACTCTTACACCTCACACCGCCCCAGATCTTCTTCTTCGTTGGCCTAATTTTAATTTTTTTGTTATTTTTGATCTTCTTCATTACCTCGCCAATTCGCTGGTTTGCTTTCGGTTGCTCGCCAATTTGTTCTTGCTGGTTTGCTCACCAATTAGGACATCAGAATAATGATTAGAATACTTTTGAGGTTTTGCCTCTTGTTTGTTGACTTTGGTTCTGAATTTGGTTAAGGGCTAAAAGGATTCATCTTCCACATATTCTTATTTGTTGGGTAGTGAATTTTGATTTCCGATTTTAGATTTGCCTTCTAACTTAAATAGACAAGAGGGGTTAAAGTTGGGTAGCGAATTTTAGAAAATAATCAAATAATTTTGATTTTAATTGGGAAAAATTAGAAAATAACACTATAAATTTTGCAAAAAATAGATTATAACACCACGTTTTTCCAAAGTTTTATTATAGCCACATAAGAAAATAAAATTTTGATATCACCACCAGATAACGGTTTCTGTGACGGAAAATGGGTGTGGGGCCCACAGTTTACTTTACCATCCACTTTTTTAACTTCTTGAATTCGATTCTCCCTCTCTCATTCATTACCCAACTACTCACACATTGAATTCTCTCTGATAAGACTCAACCACCAATTGAGATGGAGAATCAAACCCTAGGCTAAGTTGTGTAGTTGGGAAATTGAATTGCAAGGAGAGGTGTCAGTGTTTGAGCGAAACAACTCAGCGTAACTTCGTCAGCCATCTTCATCAAAGAAAAAACTTGTATTTTTCTAGGTTACTGACAGCGACAGGAAGAAAATTCCAAAAGAGGTACCAATTGAACTTTTTTATAGTAGTTTTTTTATGTCAATTTTGAAATTTTGGTGTTGATATTATGGTTAATTTGGGGAAAAATGTCGCTGACTATAAAATAGTCAAAGTTTGCGTCAATTAATGTGATTTAGGGTTAATTAGGGTTTGCTTGGCTAAATTGGCGTACTTAGTGCTTAATTGTTGTTAATTTTTTATATAATTTGTTGATTGTTTAATTAAAAGTATGGGTTTGTTGCATTGTGAACTGTAGTGTGGTAGGAATTTGATGTTTTTCTCAGTTGTTAATTATTTTGGAATTAGAGCTTGCATTGTGACTATGCAATTAGGATATAATATGTTGCCTTTTATTGTTTTCGTTGTCAGTGATTTGATAGATATAGCTTTGCGCTTTTGTACAGAAGAAAGTGAACAAAAAAAGGACTTTACTTTGTTGGTGTGGTGGGTTGTGTTATTGGAGGAGGGGTGTGAAAGTATCTAAGCTTGATGTGCATTATATTAGGGAAGCTGCTGTACATGGATTTGTTAGCTATAATGTGCAAGTGCCTACCCATTACAGCTGTTGGTATAAGCAAAAAGGAAAGACCTTTTAACACTGAGAAAAGGGACATAGTGAATGAAGATGAAATTAAGGGGCTTTTAGAGACAGTAAATGCCTAAATGGGCAAGGGTGTGTAGAAGTGTTTGTTACTTCAAATGAAACAATAAGGCCCATTATTCCTAAGGTCCAGCACACTCCACAAAGGATTGGTTCAACAAAGGGTAGAAGTGCAAGTAACATTGTACAACTTAGGAAAAGCCCTAGACTACATAAAATTGAACAACTGGACAGTCAAAGGGAAGATTCCTCACCCAAACCTAGATCTAGATCGCCTTCCAAAAACAACAAGGGAAAACGGAAAGTACAGAGTATAGGGTTATGTGAAGCTTCTGGCAGTGGGAAGGATAAGGTTAAGGGAAAAGGGAAGCTAGTTTCAAAGGGGTTGGTGTTTGACAATGATAGTGATGAGGGTAGATCTGGGAGTGAATCAAATTATTCAAGTGATGATGTTAGTGATGTTGACATAAATTGGGAACCTACTGAAGAGGAGTATGATGATGGTGATGAAGGGTGGTTGATGCAAAATTCAGCTAAGATTCTTTATGAAGTATCAGGGAAAATTGTTAAGGGTTTAAAGAAAGAAGGTGAGGGTGTGCAGGTTAAGGAAAAGAGTTCAAAACTCAGTGACAACTTGGATGTATCTGAGGTTCAGATTCAAGAGGAAGTTGAAGGAAATTCTGATGAGCTAAGAAGCCTGCATGGTTCATCTGATGAAGAAGACAACAATCTTTGGTTTAATGAGAAGGTTGACTTTACCAAGACTGTAAAACTGGTTCCAAAGTTCAAGAATGTGTTGGGTTTTGAGGAAAGCTTTAAGGGTGCATGTCATTGAAAACAGGTATGAGTACTACTTCTTATACAATGACAACACTAGGATTACTATTCAGTGTAGGAATAGATGTGGTTGTCAATTTAGTACAAAAACAAGCAGGATGCCTCTTTGTATATGTGTAGGTGGAGTCAAGTGTAATTTTAAGGTGAATGCTAGGAAGTTACTTAGGCAAGATAATAGGAAAATTAGAAGTCTGAGATTACAGCATAACTGTATGAGATCAAAGGACAACAGTAAGGTTACCGCAGAGTTCATTGCAGATAAGTACCTTGAGGATTTCAGGAGCAATCCTGGTTGAAAGGTGAAACAAATAAGGGACATGGTGCTCAATGACTTGGGAATCCAAGTTAGTTACTTCAAAGCATGGTTGGCAAGATATAGAGCTAAGCTAATCATTTATGGTTTAACTAGTGAACAATATGCTAGGGCCTGGGATTATGGCAAGGCTATTATGAAGCACAATCATGGGTCTGGTTGTAATGTAGTTGTTGATGCTCTTGATAATCCACAACCAGCATTGTTTCTGAGGATGTTTGAGTTCCTAAGGCCACTAAAAGATGTTTTTTTAAAGGGTTGTAGGCCTATAATTGGGGTGGATGGGTGCCACCTCAAAGGTGCATACCCAGGGTAAATACTAGTGGCAGTTTTTAAAGATGGGAACAGTGCCATTTACCCTTAGCTTGGGCAACAGTGGAAATAGAGAATAGAGAAACATGACAATGGTTCTTGGAGTCATTGATGGAGCTGATAGGAAGTGATGATGGAGCTGGTTTCACTTTCATGTCCGATAGACAGAAGGTATGTGTTATAAGTGCTCTTGTGTTTGGTACTGAAATGTGTAAATGACTACTTGGATTTATTTATTTGCTTTGTTTGTTTCTTGCATAGGGATTGGTTGAAGCTTTGAATGCATTTGTCCCTGCAGCTGAGACAAGATACTGTGGTAGACACATCTGGGCCAATTTCAAGCTCAGATTCACTGTACAAGGAGTTATTCTGGAGTGCTGCTAGAGCAACTACTCATGTAAGTAACTCTGCAACATCCTTTGCTATTATCTTATTGAAAACAATATGGTAATTAGTACATTATTTGTGTTTCATGATTAGTTTGAGTATGAAGCTGCAATGAAGTCAATTAAGGCCCTTAATGAAGAAGCCTATGAATACTTGGAAAGTATTCCCACCCAACATTGGTGTAGGCATGCCTTCACACCCAATTGCAGGTCAAACATGTTATTGAACAACATGTGTGAGACCTTTAA